ACAGATGTTGCCTTAAAATGTTCGTTCGTTCGTTCGTTCGTTTTTGTCTCAATGCTGTCTATTCGGCAGTTTCAGCTTTGACTACGAAAGCATTTCTTTTCGTTTTTTTTCTTCTCTCTCTCTCGTTATTTTAGATGAATAGGCACCGATTTGGAATGAATCATTATCGACAGAATTCATTCGTGAGACAGTGCATTTCATTCCGTAGACGACAATTCTCATCGTTTATTCGTTTCTTTTGCTCATTCCTCTTTCTTTCCTGATACTGTCCACTCAGAGCCGTGCTGTTACTTATACCAACTGTCCACCCAGCCTTGTTACTTTTTCACACTTCTGCATAAATTCAGATGGGCGAGTGGCAATTAATTTTCTAAATTCTGGAGCAAGTTGATTTTAGTCAGATCAGAACAACGTCTACATGATCGTCTCCTCTCATATACGTCTAATGCAACAGAATTTCGGACAATAGAAAAATCTAGCAATAAAGCACTTGGAAAAAGGAAAAATTATCCGATGGGGAAAAAAGAGGCGAGAAGACAACAAAATGTGTTTCCTCTAAGAAACGCCCAAGTGGAAAACATTACCTGTATAGCAGTACAGACATTATTTGCAGTTCTTTGCTGAAATACAGTCCACTTTTTTCGCCATTTGTTTCGCCGTATTACACCTTCATTGTCTAATGAATGAAACCGATTAATAGACGTATGATTTAAGGATGTTGGATGACTACGACTGTCCGACCACGAGTGTTCACAATCTATCAGAACAAGTATGGTATCGTGGTATGCTTACAAGAATCAAGTCCGAACAAATCTTACGCGAAAATGGGGAGTTTTTGGTTGGTCTTTATTTTCGACATACCTTTCTTTTTTTCGCATTCCTGCTAGACGTTTTAACTTTTACTATACGCCCATTCTCTTTTCATGGCAAAGCACGATGTGAAATGCAACTATACAAATTCTAAAACATGTGCGAAATCGAGAACTCTAGTTGGGACTTGAACCAGCGACTAGCCTTTACGGACTCTGACGTGTTATCCACCCAACTAAAGCTTTTGTTTCGCCTTTTTCGAAGCTATGTTTTTACTCCTTCGGTGCTTTCAACGGTCACACGTCAACCGCAATGATCTGGGGAGCACAAATCAGGATGAACCCACTTGAGGTGAACCTGCAATCGAAACCACAGTGTTTAACTCTCATTTTCTGCCTTTTCTTTTTTCACAGTATGGCACGATGTGAATTATTCACCCCGTTAAGATGCAGACACCAGCGAAATAATTTAAAAGTTAAAATATAATGATTTCGACTGCACCTTCAGCTTCACTGGGTTCCCTGTCGATTTTTGCTCTCCAGACCACTCCCGTAGACGTATGATCGCTGATAGCACCGATAGAGTAAAAAAGTACCTCAGAGAAAGATGAAGCAAAAGTCTTCGTTGGTACGGTGGATAGCACGTGAGTTCCAAGACAGGGTAATCGATAGTTCGAAATCCACCTGAGGTTTACAAGTTAGCTCATTTTTCGGCATTCGTGTGGTTGTATTTCACGCGGTACTTTGTCACAAGTGTTCGAAATGTGCATGCATTATCATCTTCTAAAGGCATATAACTGTTTGGTGCCACAGTGGAGCGGTAGACTCTATGGTATCGAATTTCTTCACACACTGCTACTTCATCACATAGAGCTAGTTGATTTACTATTGCTCAGAGGAAGTTCAGGTCCATATTGAAACAAAGGCCCAGCTTCCAAAATTTCTTCATCACATATCTGATTGGGTCTGAATCACAAGATAACGGAAGCTCCTCTGAGTCACTCATATTGATGACAAATGCTTCTGACTAAGGCGAAGAATAATGCAGCTGCCTTTCAACGTTTTAAGTGATAAAAAGGCTTCTTGGTATGAAGCATCTTTACATGTTCTTAAATAGAACTTTTTTGCAGATAAATAGTATGTGTCATCACTTTCACATTCAGATGATGGTAGAGGAAAGATAAAGATTACATTACTGCTAAATCACGCAACATCTTACTGTAATAAATTTATTAACGTCCAGCATAACATCTTCAAGTCGCATTATTCATTCTATCACCTATTGTGTTATTCATTATACAATCTAATCTTACCATATTTTTTCGCGCCATTCCATTTGGGTCAGAAAATTTTTACTGTTTAGCGTTTCTATTGTCAATGCTTAAATCGGTTTGATAAATCAGTGACATTTTAGAGAGGATTTTGAAAATGTATGCGGTTATTGAGAGAAAACTACTGAATAAACAAGTGAAGGACGAGTTTCTAATTATAGTTGTCAGAGCATTTGTCGCGATTCGCACGATCAGCCTAATTCGATGGAGTCGATTCCACCACATGTATGTCAACATGACAGCTGTGTCGTCTTCCTATTACACATCTTCATTAATCGCTGAGTATACCATAGCCACATTGTTCACTATTGTGCTACATGGAGGCGAACAACAAATATGAATATGATGACAATACATTAGTTCTAGCTCAGAGGTGCCTTATAGCAGTACACACGTCATTGGTTCGTCCTCATTCCCTGGACTAATCAGGCTATCGGTCACGCCGGGGTTGGCAATTCGCTACCAAATTTTCCTGGGTGGGGAAAATCACTGTTATAAATCGGTGGGGCCCCGAAACTCACTGCATACGAATTATGCACTTGATCATTTCTACGGTGCTTAATAGAGTCAAATTCATTGCTCATCCATATAGTGACGAAGTTTGTTCGTTTTCCTTTTATCTTGGTGCTCGAGAAAGTTCGCAGTTTTTTAGAGTCGCAGATGCGTTAAAAAAAATTGTGGCGCCCGTCATATAACCATCAAGACCATCTTTGTCATAGATTGGAATGACTCTGTTTTTCCCACTTAAATGGCACTTTTGGTCTCACACTCTCTTTATTTTGCTACATTACCACACTCAACAAATGTGAGTGGGAAGAGAATGCCTTAATGACAAAAGATGAGTACTGCTGTCTTAAACTACAGAACCAATGAATAAGATTCGTGGAATACACGAATTTCGAAATTACCAGACTGTAGGTGTAGGGATCTTCGCGAATGCACTCATTCTTTGTTTCTATAGGTGCCATTTTTCCAAGCAGAAAAGAACACTAAGGAGAAAATTCATAAAGTTGCGGAATTAAAGCACAATGCAAATCTTTCTTGCATGAGTTTGATTTGACAAGAACCGATGCCGTTAAAAATAGAGCGCTGAATTTGCCTTGAAAGTGTCATAGGAAGAACCTTGGCGTATCTCCTTGCTAATTTGCATTTTCCACAGAAATGTGACCATAATTTGAGTAGTTTTACACGCATCCGAACTGTTCTACACTTTTCGCTTTTTGTTAAAAGGTTGCAGTCAAGTGATTAGGAAGTGTACTAAAGGCTGAAGTGTGATTGCTGATGGCAGCGTTAGATAAAAAACTAGCTGAGAGACACGCAAAGCAGGGGCCACAGTGGTGCATGGTGTAATAAGGGAGTTTCTGGAAAGAGTAGTGGTGGTTCGATCTGGCTCGCCATCCAAGTCTTGCGAATATCTCAGAATTGTTGTGCATGATTTTGAAAAACGGCATTTTGATTTTTGATCGTTGATGCAGGTAGGAGTTTCGGATCCCTTCGCTTACTTGTGTCACATCAGACATGAAAAAAAATGGCCAAAATGCCATACCATGAAGAATTATGGTGGGCGGTAAACAAAAGATTAACGCTGTACGGAAGGTAATTTAGTGACTGGGGCCTAAAAGAGAAGCTCCGGATCTACTGCTTAAGATTCTGTGGGTGGTCTCAATTCTTACAGTAGCACCTTGATAGCTATTCGCAGTTACTGTATGGTAAAGGTAGGGAGGTAAAAACCGTAGAACTAAATGCCAGCATACAAGAAATTTGCTTGCCGTTCGGAAATTAGTGAGAAACTTTATATAGATCTGCAAAGTTTTAGAACCTATATCTTGCTTATATTTTGCTTTTTTATGAGTACAATAGTCTACTGGGCTACCAAAATACTTGCTCTTTGCTTATCATCAACGTATCTTGGTGGTGATAATCCAGTCAACAGGTTGAAGGCGATCGGTGCTTAGAAAATTTTAAATCGTGTTTATACAATCTTTATAGGTTCGCGATTCAATATCGATGCCTGGAGAATACGTTTTGACGACAATGTGGAACAATCGTCCTCTTCACTTTCAAATCAATAGTACTACTGAAAATAGGAAACGGCAGTTTTACGTGCGTTTTTGCAATTAGTATTTTCATTCATACGTTTTTCATTATATTTTCTCTCCAAAACTTGCAATAACCATTTGCGATCGTCTTAAGTGCAAACAAATACGAAAAAATTGTAGTGCATATAGCGCACTGGTAAGAGGTACCTTATAGTGCACACATGGTCGGTCATTGGTGCGATCCCGCATCCAAGGCAAACTAAGCTCTCTATCACTCCGCGCTTAGGAAACTGGTGTCAGAATTTTCTGGAAGGATAAGGAAGACTAAATTGATAAATAGATAGGAGATAAGAGGTCACTGCAAAGACAAAACATGTATTCAATCACTATTGCGATACTATTTGGATTCAAATTCAAGATACATCTTCGAAGAACTGATGAACGCCGAGCGCTTTACCTCTTCATTCTTTATCTTCGTTGACTGCCTAACTTTCGTCATTAACTCCAAATTTTCTGGGCAATAATTTGATTGTAATAACTAGCCGGAATAAAACAAGATGCGTGCCAAGTTTTTTTGCACGATTTGTGCGCTAGTGATGCGAAAAGGCGAATTTTTGAAAACGAGAACACGAAAATTAATGTACACCTAAAAGAATGCATTCAAGCTGCTCAAGCGGCAGGTTATGTATAGTACAGCACCAAATGTACGATTCATTGTCTTAGTTTCCTGTTCGTTGTTACCATCTGCCATCCTGTTTCCGTGGCTCTGTTGATGACATATGCTCTTGTCATGTAGGATAGGTTGACGTGTAGTTGTAGGTATGCTCATGTGCCAACCTAACCTTGAACTAACGGAGAACGTCGGACGCAATACTGAGGTAAACAATGAGGGACGACTGAGGCAGCGGCTTAGACTTTACCTCTAACTACTTCCATAAATATCGTCAAGAAATTTGGTTAGACTGATAGATAAAATATTTTGTGACGACGTGAAGTCCAAATACACATAACGTGCTAAATGACTGAGTGAACGTCGTACTTCGAAACAGCAAGTTCAAGAACAACGAGTTTAAAATCCGCGCTTTTTATGCACTAAATGTCACACTGTAAAATCTTCCTTGTTAAACTATTTTGTTGGTTTTCAGTTAGAAGAAGAATCATTTGATTCGGTGCCAGCATTGGTAAACTTCTATAGAAGCCATCGACGTCCGATCACAGTTGCATCTAGATGTGTTATTTTAACGCCCGTTGCACGTGATCGTGACAATGAAGGAAGTGTTAATAGCCTTGAAGTTGAGGCTAGTTACATGCATGTTCTCAAGCCAAATGCGAATCAAGGTATGATGAAATTTTCTAAACCTGTGGACAGAAATACTATATTTTTCTGCAGGAATTAATGAGAAAGTTCCAGCAACACCACGGTCACTATCAAAGCGGGTGCTCCTAAATCAGACGGCTCTTCGCCAAAACGCCATAGCTCGTCAGCAACGCCCAAAATCTAGCATTAATCAGCAACAAACGAGGTTAAGAGTATTTCTGTAATATATCGTTTTTCTTACAGCTGGTTCTAAAAAGGCAAGCAAACTAGTATTAAGGGGATCGAAATTATCAACACATTTTTTCAGCGTAACTCACGAATCACTACATGTTCCACCAGTTCCTATTACTCTTGTGAATCGTCCACTTCCACTGCCTCTTCGGTCACCAGGAAGTACACAGGATGACGAAGAAGACGTTAGTAGAACTAAAGGTACAAAAACATTTAAATGGCGACATTTTTTTGCAGTACTCCGAAATGGACTATGATGCTATGAATGACATTCTGGATGCATCTTCAAACTCTCGCAATAACAAGACGCGCAATACGAGCATTAATTCAACAGCAAGTAAGCATTATATCTTGATGCGGTTTTTGAGGGTTTTTTGTCTTTTGACGATTGCGCACCATTGGAAAATTGTAGGTATCACATCACGAAGGTTCCAATCGTGTCAAAATCTTAGCTATCGTTCGCACTCACCTAGTTCGACTACTGGTAAAGCCCCCCCACCTCTACCACCTCGACCACCTTTACCTCCTAGACCGAACTTCAAAGTGGAAGCGGTACTTATTTTGCAATCCTTTTTAAGCTTTTATTAAAAAAGTGGTTTGGGAGTAGCAAAAATAATAAATTTTATAAATCAGTGTTACAGAGCACTGTTGCTGATGAAACACTGGGCGAACGCTCGCAACTTGAAAATGCAAGTGATGGCGCGTTCGTTGATTACGACGAACCAAGAACAAAAATTTTACACAACGACTACGATAAGGTTTGGCTGGTACAAATATTTGGTAAAGTGGACAGGAAGCGGTCGTGTTATGACCTTTGTCTTAGGTCTATATCTATAGATGTATAAATGTATTTATGTATGTGTAAGTATGTATGTATATATGTATATATATATGGCATCTTTATGTAAGTAGGTATATACAAACGTATACACAAATACATATATATACATATATTTGTTTTTAGACGCGCAGGTTTATTACTTTATTTTCTCTAAAAACTCTTGATAGTAAGTTGAAGCTTATAAAAGTTTTATTTTTGTCCTACAGTTACCTTCTACAACAACGTATGCTCCGGACGTCAAGCGAAATAGCTTCAGTAAGCGATCAAGCGATTGCGACGCTACTGACAATAGTGTTAGAGCTTCTCGAGATTCTGGAATCTATAGGCGAGTGGCAGCAGTGTGATAATTTAGAGACGGTGTTGTTATCCATACGTCTTCTTTCAGCTCTCCCTCTCCTCCTGGCGAGTATCATACCGCTTTGTCACAAGTGCATCTGATGCAGCTTAGGCAACTTCTGCTCAACAGTAGACCCGATGAGATATCGTTAGCACTATCGTATGAACATGCTAAGATTTTGCATTTTTTGGAGCCTATTGAGGTAAACTGTAGAGATTTTCTATAATTGATGTAGTGACTTAGTATAATACACTACAGGAATTGGAATGCAAAGCGAATAATGGATTACGTTTGGTGTTGCTTCCTAGTGGTTCGTCATTAAGACAAGAACTTATCGAGAGGTACCATCGTCATTTACCTCATCCAACATACCGTCTTTTAAAGAAAAATACATGAAGTCATTCCAGATGTAGTTTGCTACGATTCACGTGTTTGCTGTCGATATTCTCTGGTTCCCGTAAAGACGCCCATATTATTCTGAAGAAATGGATTCTTACGGCAGCGTCATTAGCACGTCATGGTGATGCTTTCGCATTCTCATGTATTGCTGGAGCTCTATCGGGAAAATCGGTAAGGTTTTTTACCTTCTTCTTCATAATGCTAACTGTACATAGTCATGTATAAAAATCTTACTGGATTTCACGCTTTCAGCTGAAATGTGTACAGTGGCTTTGGACGTCACTGGATACAGAAGCGAAAAAAGAACTTGAGATTGTGCGAAATATAAACGAGTCATTGATAAAAGGTGAGAGACTTGAGCGTCAAAATCATACGACAATTATTCCCTTTATGCAACCAATCCTTGAAATCATGTCCGGAGCAGACTCGAACTATGTGGATGATACGAACTTCGCAACTGAAGTTGGTAAGTTCAAATTTGTCTTTAGTTTTTCGTTAATATAAGCAAGAACCTTTTTTAAGTACTGTATCAGGGTTTGATATGCTCATTGCAGAGTCTTTATGGGCTTGGTTAGAACGTGCCCGTCAATGGTGCACGAAAGCGGACGAGTCATGTCGTACGGCTCGTGCTAAATACAGACGTGCTGATAGCGGTGTGATGTCGTCTTCATTTCTTTCTCGTCTCTTTACCGGTGCTGGTAGTCATGAAGATCGCCAACGAGTACTAGATAGTCTGATTCAAAATACTGTCGACGATTGCTGATAGCAACAAACACTACGAAAGTACCGTTATCTATGGATAGGGCCAGTGTAAGAGTGATTCCACTTGTGTTCATTACCAGTGATGACACTTCTACTTGTTTTCATTCATATTTTTTTAAGACAAGCTTTTATTCACTTAAATTATTTGACGACTGATCAGTGGTTGATCGTCATTCTTAAGTATGCGTTCGGTTACATTGCCTAACTTTTAGCGTATTGAAAACAATCCACAGCAGCGCTTAGTGATTTTGATTAATCCGCCGCTCATTCTGTCACCGCAGTAAAAATTCCTAGATTTCTTGTTAAATATCGATTGAACGGCTTTCCGAAATAGTATTGTGCCTATTGTAAAGCAACAGAGCAGTAAATGCTAAATATTGTATCCATTGAAAATTAGGCTTATATTTGTTTCTTTAACAGGCTTTGCTGTAAATGTGTAGCGATTCCTGATTTATTGGAGGTTTTATTTTTTCCCATTGAATAAAAAAAACTTCTGTCCTCGTTTCTGTTTTCTTCTTTGTGTGCTTCCGAATGCTAAAATTATGTGTATGTAGAATACAGTGGGAAAAGAGAAAATCTTCTTCTTGATAATCGCGTGTGGGGCAAAATAAGCGATTTTTGAAAAGTAATAGCTTTTTTTCAAATTTATCCCCTCAGATAATCGCGCTTTCGAGTGTAGGCCAGCCAGTGTACTACAAAAATTTGAGTAGGTAGTGAAAACTTTGGAAAAGTTGCTACAATCGACAAAGAAATAGAAAATGTGGTTGCAATAAAAGAAGTTCAGGTTTCTCGCATTTCTGTTTCTTTCATTCCGCTTCCAAAGCGTGCTTCTAGCATACTTTTCAACAAAAACTCCAACTAGGCTGACGAGTTCTTTCTACATTCTTTAGAATTAATTTGCGTGTGGGTCGCGAAAACACACTATGTATATAATTTTCTTCTGAATTTAGTATACAATAGAATAGGAAGGTTCTGTTACTAAAGGGGTTTACAGAGCGAGATATTGTGCAGTGTAACGCACTCTTGTTCACTGCTTCGATTCTGTCCTGTGTCAAACAAGCCTCTTTTCATCATTGGCGCACCCCACCGGTTGACAAACTACTGCCAATTTTGCCCGGACATAACTCAGTTTAATCCACAAAGGCTAGTGGCAGCTTGAGGTGGAGATCAGAGAACTCTGTTTAGAACTGTTGTAGGATTCCAGGTAGAATCGACTCGAGCAGCGATTCAACGATATACATGAAGAGACAAAGCCCTCAAATGGAAGTAGAGGCAACCCTCAAATCAGATAATGCATGCGAGAAAAGGGTTAAAATGGGAGAACTGCCGGCATCTGAATTGTCTGCGACAATAAATCATTGAAATGAAATGAAAACGAGTCTAAAGTGTGCAACAGGGTTCTGCTTTACTGAGGTATGCAGGATTTCCCGAAGCCATATCTGCACCGGTCTATTCGTCTGCAGAGAATTATCTCGAGGTATTTATGAGAGCATTAGCCTAAACAAAAAGCTCTTAAGTTTGAAGAACCGAAAACAGAAAAAAAAGAAAAACCAAGCTTTTTGGTTAAGCAGTTGGCCTTTCAGCATATGATCACAAAACGTTTCTAGTGTAAGCTTTTAGGTGGTAATGACAACAAGGGTTTTAAAAGATCAAGAACAGAGGTATTTTAAAAAATATCTCTTGTATTATTTAAAACTAATCAACTACCAATAACACATGTAAGTAAAGTCTTCACTTTGCTTGAACATTCAGTACCAAGCTTCTTATGGAAAACCCGTTATTTTATGCATTCTTATGTGAATTTAATGCATGCCGAAGTCATCGGTGAATACTTATAAACAAATAGAGCACTGCTTCACCTTTATAAATTGAACCCTAAACAAACATTTACAGATTGAATAAAGATATCCTCGATAAATTCAATTCCCTGCTGGATGAACTGTTGAATGGAAAATATTGTGCCCCGCTGTAACGATTAGTGTAAATTTCGTACAAACGTCTGTCACAGTCAGCAGGTAGTATCGTAAGAGAAAAACAAATTTTCACATTGTAGTGTGTTAGTTGACTCGTGCAGTGTAGTAGAATATAAACATGTTTGTTAGTTACTTTCTGCGCTGTGAGCTAATCAAGCCCACCATTCCTTCAGTTTTGATGAAGGCCCCCACCCCCACCCCTTCCCACTTGGTGCATTGATAAGTCTTCTCAAGTCTATGCACAAGTCAAGTACGTATTTATTCACACATACGATGCATCATAGAGGCGAATTCGTGGTTGCCATGATTTAGGGAATAACCAACGCGAAGCCCTTTTAATTCACTTTACGGACAAGGAATATAGATCAGGTTAGCTCGAGTAGAATTCTAATTCTAGACAAATTCCAGCCTCTCAATTAGCAATAATAGCTAGGATCATCTATCACCAACTGATTTTATAGAACGCAAACTACTTTTTTATAAAGGCTCTATCAGCCAACTGTGGCTTTAGGAAGAGGCTGCTTGAGTAACTAATCCTTATGAACAAACACAGCGGTTTCTTCTGTGAGAGTAAGAATAAAACGAATTCGGTGCTTCAATAAAAGCTGAAGCTAACTACCACTTTACTTTCTTCAGGTGGTTGCGTTTCGATAGACTTCATCTTTTTCAAAATCTATGGCGAACGTGTCAACAAGCCATGGATTATACTCAGTCCCTACCATACTTAGTCATATTTCCAAATGCTTATTTGAAGACCTAGCTACATAGCACATGGTAGCTTTCTAACTACCCGTTATTTACTTTTCTTTATCCTTCCGATTTTTTAGAAAATGGGACTGTCAAAGAGAAAAACAGCCTGTAATTCCCAGTAATCATTTATTTTCATTCTCCTCTTCATGTATCGAACTGTACGTTAATGTGCTAGATTCAAGCTGTTTGAGTGACATGAATAGAGGTCTACATTTTTATGCGATGACACTTATTTTTGCTCTTTAAAACGAAAGAATTCCTGGAGGTGCGTCGTCGGATTCTGCTGTGAAAGAGGTTTACTATTAATGGTGCTGCTAGGTTGAAATTTCAAACTCTTCATTGATAATGACCTTACCATATAATTAGTAAACTAATTCTTCTTTGATGAAGACCCTTCCATATAATTACTAAGCCTTAGTCTACTAAAAGAACAATAATTAAGCCTTTTGTTATAAAGGCCTAAGAGTTGCGCCATACATTGGATTTCAACAAATATCGTTAGTGGTGACTGAATAAATAACTGGCCATGCGGTGGCCTGTCGATGTATCAACTTAGTGCTGCTATACTCCGAGACATTAATGCCAATTTTCCAACCCCGAGGAATGCAACACTTTGCAGAGCCCGCGGTACGAAGTTAAACCAGAGATTGCGTGTGTATAGCACAGCACCTCTAAACAACCGCTGCGCCCTTCTTTTCCATAACGCTGGTAATTCTCCATGCAAAAAAAGACAAGCATTGAACTTAATTCAAAGATTTAATGGAGCTTGGATTGGTAGCTTCATAAAAGCGAGAGAATGAAGGAACCGACGACACCAAGAAAATTACCTCATACGACAATGTTCTATTATTCCTAAATTAGGAATTAATTTCAACATTTCCGTTATCAAATTTTTAGCAGAACGATTTTGAAAAACGCATGGATCTTTCGTATATGTCAAAACTTCCACAATACTCGCCAGTTACTCCGACAACGGTCACCGTCCCTTCCAGCAAGCCACGCCAACTCGTCCGGAAACACTCATCGAATTGTCTTACAAGTGTCACTAGTTCAACCAACAACACATGTCACCTCTACGGTATTCATCTGTGTTCAGCGCTTCGACCATATTATCAATATTTTTACAAACTTATTTTTACAAACGGAAGCCAACAAGTCGGATGAAAATCAAGGAATGTGCACGCCGGCCACTTTAAGAATAATAATTTACTCACTTAAGATCGTGTAATGTTTTTAGCCACTATATTCTCATAAGAATTGTTCTCACAACATCTTCATTTTTGCGAACTAGTGGGCTAGGACGGATGTGACGCAATGGTCGGAGGCGCCCAGCGGCATACACATGGGATCGATCCCCGTGCTCTTGGCTCACCAAGCCTTCCATTCCTCCGGGGTCGAAAAATTTGGTCCCAAACTTGTATAAAGGATAGCATCACTGGCTCAATATATCGTTAGGCCACCGCGAGTTATTGTAAAGGCCAGATAGGCATTCACTCACCTCCAAGGATGCTTAACGAAGTCGAATGTATGGCGCACCCTCAGAGATTGATCAACGCCGAGAGCTTAAGGCTTCATTTATCCTTCACTTTTGAGAGGTATGATGCTAAAGTCATTTTGTTCGTATTTGAGCAAACGCGAGGTGTTATTGTTCTTTGTTCACGATTAAGCTGACGTTTCGGCGAATTTCGCCTTCTTCAGAGCCTGGAAAGGTCAAGTTGATAGCAACTCACTCGGCCAAACGCCTCCATAACCAAACAAAGAAACCCCAAACCAAGATTTCAATCACTTTGAACACAGCTTTGCACACTCACCGCTTTCTATGAGGTCTCCACTAAGTATGTCACGTAGAGACCAACCGCACAGAAATCACGTGGAAGTATAATGTGCCCCTCACATCAGAAAAGCAGTTTTATATACTGCCCTAAATCACGCGTGATAATGAGGCATTCTTCCCTGCGGTTCATTTTCGGATTTCTGGAATTAATCCAGAGTCCCTCGAGGGTTTTTCGCGCCTGTGTTCTCGATTCGCGTGCGAGGATCGTGACACATACTTCGAAGTCGTCCCCGTTATGT